AGCTGGCAACCAGGGTGGCTCACCCTAAACCCTCAACCTTTAACCCTAAACCCCTCCTAATTCAGAATAGGTTTTAAAGGGCAGGGATGATTTCTGCAGGATTGGGCCCAAATTGCCTTTATTATTAGGGGGGGTGATTGTTGACTTGTTGTTGTAGTGGAGATGCTGCTGCGTTTTGCTGCTGTGCTGAAAGCCGAGTTTACATCGCGGCAACGTATGTCACATCAGTGCTGCGACCAGCCAACGGATGGCAGAATTCCCCAAACACCGAAACATGTGAGCGCAAGCACCATCAAGAACAAGTCCTGCGAGAATCATCACGAGATGAGGGAGTTGTGTCGGCAGCCGGGCGGCTGATGACACTGCCTTCCATGACTGCAGTCTCGGCCAGAAGCCGCGTTCGCGCCAGCTCCTAACCGAGTCCGTTGGATCAAGCCTGGGCCTTGGACCTCGAAATCCGAAAGTGCCGTGCACAGACACCGCCAGCCTCTCCGTCAACGAAGAACTTCAGGTCTTCTTTCTCGCCTTGGGACTTGGACTACCAGTCGCACAACCAAGGCTGGTAGTAGTTCGGGCATCCCGCCAGTTGCAAAGACCTTGCCTGCCTTCTGTCGCATATCTTCATGAGGGATAGGATGTGCGAAAGAGTACCACGGCGCGCTGGCCTTTCTCACGCAGAAGGACCTCAATGTCCAGGATCTTCGTGTCCTGAGGGTTGTTGAGCTAGGACTTCCATGAACTACGGCTCCGCTCTGAAATCGAAAGGGGGGACGCCCGATGAGCCCGAGTTTCTGGAACCACTGCTTCATGACTAGGACGCTTTGGCATTGCTGCTGCTGCTGGTGCTGGTGCCACTTCTTCGGCTGTTTCATGCCGTGATGACTTTGGCGACGAGCATGCTTAACGGCATGATCGTTAAGATGCTGAACCGACAAAGTGTGGACGACGATGCTTGCTTTTGCTTTTTGCAATGACCCATGCATGCATGAGTGTTGCTGTTCTCGTCGTAGTGGCAGGAGCACAAGGAGCAGTAGGAGCAGCAGCCGCAGCAGCAGCAGAAGGAGGAGGAGGAATACGAAAAGTAGGAGTAGGAGGAGTAGTAGT